TGTTTCTGCAGAAAAAAATAAAGGGAAGATAAAAGCTGATTTTGAATACAGCATTGTTGGCTGGGCTCCCTATTACTCAGGCATTATCCCATCACCTCAGGCTTTATAGGAAAGTGAAACTCTTGGCTTACCCAATGCTCTTTCAGCCTAGTACTTTAATTGGAAAGCATCAGAAAATTCTGATGTGTTTTGGTGAAGAAACTTGTGCAAGAAACTGGATGTACTGCACTGATTCGGTTCAACATGGGGCTTGTAGATGCTGGTCTTCCATCTTGCTGTCTATGTCAAAGAGAGAAAAGGCTTTAAAACCTGCTAAAAATCAGAAAGTGATAAAGGAAGCATTGACTCAGTCTGCCCAGTAGCTGGCCCTGGATCCCAGCCTTCCCAGTTGCTGGCACATATGAGTCCCTGAGGCCACAGCCCCACTGCAGTTCCCGGCACAGACCATCTCAGCCCTCTGCCCCCCCAAACATGCAGAGCTGGCCAGAACTCCCCTGGTCCCCAGTAGCCAGCCCCCGCATGGTCTCACCCTTAGAGACACCCCTGGCTCCCAGGCCACTTCCCCTACGGGCTGGACAGCCCAGCTTGACCTTCATTAGTGCTCGCACACCTGCATTCGCTCCAGTTGCTGCACCGCAGGCACACAGGCCTTCCGACATGTGGTCTGGCTCCCATTGCTGCACTTTGCAGTGCAGTTGCACTACACACGCCTTTGCACAGAACAGAGAACTCTCATCCCAGGAAAGAGCGAGAAAGAAATTTACTATGTTGCTACAGTTGTTCCTCCCCAATTCACCTCAATCCATCCCTTTCCCTGCTTTCGGTTCCTCCCCTAAACGTCTCATAGTAAGTCCTGTGCAATCCTGAAATACTGATATGGGGGGGAAGCCCCATAATGTACCCCATACACCTAGGTAACAACCCCCCCTCAGTCCGAAAGGTGCTCTAGTGTTGACACATTTGATGGGTTTCACGCCTGGATGCTGGGCATGAGACTCTGCTGGGGCAGCCCTGGAAGGGGCACAGGCAGGGTGGTTGTTCCTCTGAGTCCTTTAATTTAGGTTCCCGCCTGCCTTTGTGCCCCTGGGCTCCTCTGGGCACAGGAGAAGGGCCTCTGATGGGCTGATTGCCCCTGGGATGGGCTTGGGAGTAGCTGGGACAGGGTGTGAATTGGGCTCCCCGTGCCATTGTCTCTCCTGCTCCTTTGTGGGTGTGCAGACCAGCTTTTAGGGGGGGAATATTAGATTATGCGAGAAAAGATACAACCAGAGAGGATCACACCGTCCCCTCTCCTTGCACAGAACTTCCCAGACATCTCTTTCACCTCCTGGTAGGGTTCTTGGCTCGACCTGCAGGGATTGATCTTCTGTTGCCTTGCTTTAGTATCTCCGTGGTGCTGCTGAGCTGTGCTTTAGTCCTGCGGGCTGTTGTAGGGCACTTCGTTGTCCCAGGCCACGAGCAGATCAGGTCCCATCACCATCCTGGATCTTCTTCCAATCCCTCCCCAAACATATTCCCCCAGAGGGGAAGCGTGAGCACACCCAGGGGATGTCTGGACAGGGTGTCCTGGCCCTGCCAACCCCCCTATCCCCAATCCTGAATTAAAAAAAAGGGGGTTGGCATATAGAGACGAAGGAGGCAGCGTAGGTCAAAAAGCACAGAATTGTTAATATAGGTAGGTGCGGCTGAAATGTCCACATTTTGTCCCTCCCAAAGACCCACAGTGTTCCTGTATGAACTGGAGCCCTGATACGCAGCTTTGTACAGTTCTGTGAGGACAACCTTTTGCAGCTGTTAATATCCCTCTGTAGCTGGATTTCTCCCATTACAACAAGTGGTTTGCAGAGAACCAAAACCGAATCTAATGGGGTGGCAAGATAACCAGACATTATTGTATGCTGAAACCTGAGGCATGCGTGAGAGGCTCTGCAGTTCGAGAACCGCAGAGGCCAGACCTGAAGTTACCCACGGCTTTGCTCTCCTGCAGAGACTCGGAGAGCAGCTCGGCAGCCCTCCATCCTCCTAGGGACGGAGGAGCCCGCATAAAACCGAACCCGCTAGCCCTCGGCCAGGCCTCAGCTAGCAGGGAGCGTGGCAGCGCCACGGAACCAAGTCGAGCACACAGAAAGCCGGGGCACTTTCTGTAACGCGAGAGCCGGCGCCCGGCATCGCACCTCCGGCGCCGGG